ATAGCAATAAGCTTATACATATGACATGTGTCTCACCTTTGAGATGATGTACAGGACAAGGACTAATAAAAAAGTTATCATACTTTTTTAGCCATAGCAACGAAATCTTTCGTTTCAAGGTGAAGTGGACGTTGTCGCCATGTCCCGAGTAGCACATAACAATGAATCACCATTGATTCAATTATATGTGCTACTATGGGTGAGTCTATGGACTTATTCCAGCGTGTGGAGTGTTGCTGCGCACGAGTTTGCCGCCCGTCCTTAGGAAAGGTCTCCAAGTCATTTGTCAGGACTACTTTTTTTTTGCGTCTTTGTCGGTTAATCTGCCTCAATTTGTCATGGAGTTGCTAGTTGGGTAGAGGAAGCAGTCGGAGGAGAGCCAGTCCAGTTGATAGAATGGATGGCTAATGGTAATTACGTGGCATATCAGAAGGTTGGAAACGACTCATGCATGAGCGCATTTTCCTGCTGAATTTTTTTCGGTAATCTCAATTCCGAGAACCCTTTTAGCGAATCGCTTGATCATCGCCCTCAACCAATCAGCGTTTTCGCTGGAGTTGATATCGGGTACTCTTCCCTTTTTTTCATGATCTATTCCATGTAGAAGGTCCGGAGATTCGCCGATCAGGACGCGTTCCTGAATCCCATGACGAATGAGCTGGAGACACTTACAGAACACGGACTGCTGATGTACATGATGTACTCCCGCTGGAAGAAGAGCATTGCCACCCAGGAGGACAACGCTTAAGAGGACCATGTCACCTTGGATTGGAATGGATTGGTAACCTAGACACACAATAAATTCGACGAACTGCTTGACAGGACTTCGCCGTCGCTTCTCAGCCCAGCTCTTGAAAGTCGAAAGGGTCTCAATCGAAGTTTCCCCACAATGCACCCAATACTTGCCACCCACTTAACTGTAGCCTCATCATGCTCCTGATAAATAGATGAATGGGTCCAATTATTTTCCCATATGATATCTAAAGAATTTCAGGTGAGAGACTCGGACATCGATCAATTCTCATTGTAAGAAAGTTCACATCAATAATTCAATTATTGAGCTGGGCATTGTGGTTCGGTATGGACATACCACTAACATCCAATGTGGGTAAACAATACCCCATTCAGTTTCTCATGAAACGGTGGTAGTCTGTTTGCGCAGGCAGCCTTGCCAGAGACACCAATTACCTCCGCCTTGTCTCTCTATCTCTCTTTTGTCCCTCTTTTCCTCGTCGGATTTGCAGGGTCTCCCTGCAGGAAAAATAACACATTTAATAAATGTTCATGGCAATTCAGATTTAGAAAGTTGTCAACTGCTCAGCTGGATTAACAACTTGTGTCATTCACAAAAAAATTAGTGTTGCCGCATCACAGCGAGAATTTCTGCAATCAGATAATTGTATATTGAGAATATATTATGTGAAACAAGAACGTTGAAAGTATTGATGATCACAGAACTCGGTTCGCCTATCCTGGGCTCTGGAGTTTTTGAGAGAAGAACCGATCTTTTTATATTAGCGATAGTCTGATAGTCTCAGAATTGCACATATCACCCCTCTTTGGGAGATGAATAGAATTAAATGTTCCAAGCGATGCCATTCCATATAGGTGTCCCTATCTAGATTTCTTACGCTCTCTCCTGCCGGCCTGTTCTTGCCTTCGGCCCTCATGACATGTGACCTGTATTCCCCCAAGGAAGAACTCAATCACCTGAATCCTCGACATTTCGACTTTTTCACCAGTGCTTTTGAGTTCTTGCTATATACCCTAACTAACTAACTAACCTCAGAGAGAACAGGATGAAGGCAGATTAAGTGAGCCGCATTCCTTCTGTTTGGCCGAACGAGCGAGAAAGTCAGTCTAATTTTGGGGATGCTGGATCAGTTGAATGAGAAAATAATCATGACCGAAGGCCGCAACCTTTTCTGACCAAACTAACCCATCATTTCCCAAAACAGGTTGACTTACGCTTTGGCCTTTGGCCGAACTGGAGGAAAAAAGTTGGAGGAAAAGTCTTCTAACCGTTGAAAACAGCCCACGTTGCACCGAGCTTATAGGGGTGTCCTTTGAGGTCTGCTCTGTAAGAGCTTCTCATGGGATCGACTTGGAAAACGGCAATCACGGAGATTACATATTGGTCTAAATGCCTGAACAGTGAGAAGCGCAACGCTTGTAGTTATATATTTACAAACGAACAAAACAAATTTAGAGTCGGCAGTTCATCCACGAAATGGAGTATCTCCTTCCCGAAGCTGAATTATAAAAATGTAAAATGGAATTTAAATTCATCAGATGCGATTTTGCTAATTGGCAACCTTTCAGGCTTTGAGGGACTCCAAGGTTATTGAGACCTTTTCCCCCTGAATTTTGTCATTTTGTGGACAATGACGTTTCGCTGTGGACGGTGAAAAAAGGCAAAGTTTTTGCATAGTTTACAGTATTTCATTCCTTCGGATCTTGAAAGGCTGAACGGAAACATCGGCTTAATCAAATTTTGAATCGGCTCATCATTCCAAAATATGATTCAAATGTATTCATTCCATGAACGGCCTTGAGATGGCACTCACCCAAAAGTTTAAACCAAGATTAGAAAAAAATTTTTAACAGAAGTTTGAAAGAGAAATATAAAAAAACTCCTAAGAAAGGAATAAAAGTTACGAAGCTGAAATTGCGTGATTTCGAATTAAGCAATGTAATGATCTGTATTACAAGGCGATTCCATCAAAAGTGTGCGGACTTCCAAGCGCGAAGACGAGTCTGCATTTTGACAAAAGCCAGTCGAGAATCGTGCAGATTTTCATCGCATCGCCTCCTCTTACTACTCGGATTGCTGATCGAAATAGCGGATCCATTGTGAATCGATTTGTCATGGAAGAAAGGGCTCTTAAAGTGCTTTCGAAGTTTATAAATGAGAAAGTGGAATCTCGCGTTTGGTTCGGAAAAGTTTGAATCAAATACCGACGAATTGAGTATCTTTCTTCCTGCAAGTACCTTTCTTCCTGCAATGCTCCTGCCTGCTGTGCAGGCAGGAGCATTGCAAGTACGAGACGAATCGCTGGAAATCAGCGGAAGAGGAGGGGATCGGGGTCCTCCACGGGGCGGCGGAAGCCTTCCGAACCCGGGAATTCCCGTGGTTCCGGACACCCGCGGACTTGTTCGGGGAATCGGACTTCCGGGCGAACGTTTCCGGCTTGGTCGACGAGATGGACCGGCGCCTAGCGGCGCTGGATGCGAGTCCCAGCTGCGACCGGATGGGACTTCGGTTCTTCTCGAGTGCCTTCAGACGGAGGCTGTCGCAGTCGTTCGTGGCGTCGGAGGTTGCTGTTGCCGGCGGCGCTCGGAGGGTAACAAGTGCCTCATTGCGCTGCGCCTCGTATTTCCTGCATTCCTGCGAAATTCATAGTGTTTTTTTTTTTGGAATGACTTCTCTATGCGTTAAAGGCAGCGGGCTTTACTGGAGAAAAGAGTCAAGAGAGTTAGTGATATCAAGAGGCGATAACGCCCATTTCGATATCACGTGTCGAGGTCGAGCGTTCCTTAATTTGAGGGTAGGCCTAACCCTCTTAATGCTAAATATTATTGTATATTTTTTTATGAATATATTTTCTGCCCTTGACCTTCACGTCGATGCAAGCAGTTAATGGGGTTACGAATCATTATTAGGGAATCTCGAATGCCTCGTCAGATCGTGCGATATAGACTAAAAGCAAATAATAGAAACGCAATAAAGTCTAAAGCATTGTGCAAGTAAAACGGAATCAATCTTAGCGTAAATTCGACAACAACTAAGAAAACATTCGTTCGAAATGCAGAGAAAATGAAAGCCCTTCGCGTCGTCCGGCGTCGATCCAGCAAAGAACAATGCCACGCAGGCTCAAATAACCTGCATCAAATTGCATGTGCAATTTGATATTATAAATGTTCTAGAGAGAGCGATGCCAGTGTCAGGGGTAATTAATGATTTCCATTGCGGATTGTCTGGGGAAAGTCAGCAAAATTGCAAACCTTCGTTTCGAAGATAGTTAATAAAAATTTTACATCGTTCCATCAATGCCATATCATATCGCTTCCTCGATGCCTTGTCAGATAACTTCATCGATGCCATGTCAGGTCATTCCATCGATTCCATGTCAGATGGACATCCCAGTGAGCCTTTAGATCTGCACTAATTGCTGGTGCGGACGAACTCTATTGTGATCGCAAGTAACTTTGCGACGAATGACAGTTGAAAAAAAAAGAAAGCAATATTCATGAGCTACAGGGTGGGCCAAAAAAATCGTCGTTTATCTTTAACGTTTCACAGCGTGGTTTCTCGAGAGTTCGAAAATATTGCAATACGATCTCTATATACTGTATATAATATAGAACATTTATCTCCCTCTCCACTGCTGTCAAAAGAAAGCACTTAGCCCTTGAAAAGGGCACGTACCCCTTCCAGGGAGCACCCCTAAGGGGTGCAACCTGGAAGATGTGCTCCGGGTGACGTGCATTCCTTCGCTTGCACGTTTGCAATCGTGCCAAGGCGTTGCTCACGCTTCCAGTGCCACCTCTTTAATTCTTTATCTGGCTACGTGGAAGTTGTGCCTCGCATCTTCATTCTGTTCGCATCATTGGAAAGCCGAATGAATGGTCTGTACGGAGGTGCTATTGCAAATTGAGGGTACTCTTGGGGACCAAGGCTGCAGAGAGATAAAGACGACTGGAGTTTTCATGGATCCACCCTGTACTTCCTCCATAGAGTCGAAATTCCTTTTTTTTGTTTACAAGAAAGGGAGCCAGCATTCTCCAATCCGTTTCGATTTGGTAACATTCCTTTCAAATTACACTTCACTTTTACGATTCCTTCTTCCTCAACATTCCAAGTACTGTTTCTGTAAACAATTAATTCATTTATTCATGAATTTTTCTCGCCAGCGAATATGAGAGAGACAATTCTTCAGATGCGAAATCATACGCAGACTCAATAGAAATTTTGCCGGGAACGATGGATCCGCCCATCAGATGGCTTCTAGCGCTTTGCGCTGGATTTTGCCGGCCATGGACATGGGGATGTCGTCCAGGAACGCGACTCCTCCCAGTCGACACTCCTCGCTCAGTCGGCCTGAGGAATTGAAACAAAAATTAATATCTGGTTGGCACGTACCAAAGACAAATTGAGTATTTACAAGAGATGAAGTGCTCGAGGCTTTCTTCCGTCAGAGAGCCGGGGACGACCGGGACGACGAAGGCCTTGGGAATCTGACGGTGATCCTGTTCGGGGTGGGGCAGCCCCACCACCCCCACTTTCTTCACGCTCGGATGTTCGTACAGGCAATCCTCGATCTCCGACGGAGAGACCTGCGTTCACACGGCGTGAACAAAAATATATGTAAAAAATCCACGAATTATTTACTCGCCAGGCCTTCAATCATGGAATCAGGGCGGAGCATGCACCATCTCTCTCGAGGATGGAGCAAGCCCAACCTTCTTTGGGAAAGGACAGACCTCGACGACTCCTTTCTTTCTCTTCGTCTCTATTACCCAGTTAAAATGGGAATAATTCTGAAACTCCCTCAAGTAAATATTGTCAGCACGGAGTCTCGTTTCCACGAATTGAAATGAAAATTATCTGCATAACCTCGAACAACGAACAAAGCCTCCTCGCTTCGCCATGAATGAATGAGATGGGGAGATTCACGATAGCCACCATGCAGAAAAGAGCTTCGATCGAAAGATAGTCCAACGTTGGCGATCGTGGGACTGCTGGGAAGGGGAGACCCACGGATGGCCCATTTTCAACCCAATCCAAGAGCCACCTGTGGGCAAACTCCCCACGAAACCATGCTCTCCCCCTCCTCCACCGCCTCCCCTCCCCTCCCCCCCGCCCATCACCCACACTGACACTCACATAGGTGACAGTCGCTTTGTCGGATCCGAGTACTGGGATGAGGTCCTTGATCCGATCCAGCATGAAGACCCAGCCGTCCTCGTCCACCCAGCCGTAATCCCCCGTTCGAAAGAATCCCTCTCGCACACTCGCCTCTGACAGCTTCCCGGGGAAACAACAGGGATAACAAAAAATCTATTAAATTCGTGGAAGGCAGATTTGGGATTCACCTCGGGCTTGCCCCGGTATCCCTTCATGAGGGAAGGCGTGCGGAAGCACAATTCCCCTCGTTCTCCCGGACCCACAGATTCCCACGTGCCGGGCTTCACCACCTACCAGGAAATCAGAACACTTAGCGACGAAATCCTTTGGCATCATCTCGAGCTTCCAAATATTAACCTTGGCCTCAACCGAAGAATTAAGTTGTCCGACGGATCCTCTCTTTCTTTCCCTCGTGAGTGGCGAATTCGCTACGATCGAGCATTCCGTGCTCCCGTACGCCTGAAGGACATTTTGATGACATAGACATTTAAATAGATATTTAAAAATATCCAAACAAAATTAGTCGAATGGAAAGCATCCGATTCGTCCGCATGAAAGAGGAAAAAATTTTTGCTATTCTCACGCAGATATTAGATGTAAATGGCTTGGAAATTTCAAGTTCAGTTGCGATTCTTTCTGCGACCAAATATAAGTTATAATATAAAAATCAATATTCCACTTGCATCAATATAGGCATTCCCAGGAATAACTGAAGAAAATGATTCGTTTCGGTGTTGGTTAATTTCAGAAAAGGACATGCGGCATCTTGACCTTGCCCTCGACTCAAGAACTCAATGCCCTTCAGTCACTCTCAGTTCTGGACTATGAGTGATGCGAGAATGAGACCTGGACGAGAAGCTGGACGTGAGGGAACTTCTTGCGGATTTCGTCGACGAGGCCTTCCCCGAGATGGGATCCCCCAAAGATGACGAGACGGAGGGAACCGAGCCGGTACCTTCCCGTCAGGTCGCCGTCCCGGGCGAGGGATACCATTTCCCTCGGCGTGCACCAGATGCAGGCCGCCTGCGAGGGAATTCAGAAAAAAATTGTATTTCGGGGTTGGTTGGGTGGAAGGAGCGTGGGATTTCTCCGACCTGGTGCTTGTCGACCGAGGCGAGCAGGGCCGGGACGTTTCCGGGTGGAGTCATGATGCAATGACCGCCGTGAAGGAGACAGAGGAGATGAGCCAAGTAGCCGCTAATATGCGCCAGATGATTTGGCATAACCCCGACCGCATTCTGTTCCGCGCTGCTCCTACGGAGGAGGGAAGAGAACTGAGCAGTCGCGGCCGTGGCGTCAAAAAGAGAGCAAGTGGAAGGGAAAACATGCATTCTTACTGGAGGGCAGCCAGAAGGGAAGCGTGCGTGTGGTCGATCGCTTTCGGCTCTCCCGTCGTTCCGCTGGAGAGGAAGATGGTGGCCACGTCCGATGGACTCAACTCGGCCTGGTTTGGGAATTCTGAAAGATCGTGGTTTTGTTACTTGGATGCCGTTTCTCTTAATATTCAAATCAAACAATTTTTCATCGGGCCTATAACGCGTCTATAAGCAGTCGTTGGGCCATCACTGGCATATGGTTGCCTTAAGGGGAATGTTCAGTTGGCCCGTGATTGGGAAACCGCATATGTCCCAACCATGAGTCGACTTTTCACAATGGTGAAGAGGCTAAGTACAACTTATATATATATATATAAATAAATCCTTCCACGGCAACCTGCCGGTATTGGAGATATGAGGGGGGATGAACCACATCCCAGACCTCATACTCGTCTTAATTCAGAAGGACACGGCGAAG